AGAGATGCTCGAGGCTCAGAGGAAGGGCAAGACGGACGTTTAATCATAATGCTACTGGCACCATTAGTATCAGAACTCTTCGATGGCTGCTGAAGATGGGGACGGAGCGCTTATGGAAATGCCCCGAGTGCTGTGATGTCGGTTCTTGAATCAAATCCAATCAAATCAAATCAACTCCAAAGGAAAGGTAGCACCAGTACGTTACATATATTTTTTATTTGTATGTGGTGTTTCTTCGTTCTGAATAAGATACACGGAGTGTCAGGCGACAACAAGGTGGGCATGCATTACCTCTGACAGGTCGTAGTTAAGAATGGATTTGAGGTATTTAGGAAAGCACGTCATCAGAGCGAAGCAGCCCCAGTCGTTGGCGAAGTGAGCTGCAATGATCGCATGTAGAGCAGGCGACTTGACTACCTTCAGCCAGTGTATTTTAACGTGCTTCTGGTGGAGGCAATGTATTTGATGTAAAGAAGTTGGTTATAGTGATAATTATAATTTGATAATCATAACAAGTATAACAGTGGCTGCAGTTGTAGAAGCGGTAGCAGCAGCAGTAGAAAAAGAAGTAGTAGTAGTAGTAGTAGTAGTAGTAGTAGTAGTAGTAGTAGTAGTAGTAGTAGTAGTAGTAGTAGTAGTAGTAGTAGTAGTAGTAGTAGTAGTAGTAGTAGTAGCAGCAGCAGCATCAGTAGCAGTAGCAGTAGCAGCAGCAGTAGCAGCAGTAGCAGCAGCAGTAGCAACAGCAGCAGTAGTAGTAGCAGCAGTAGTAGCGGCAGCAGTAGTAGCAGCAGTAGTAGTAGTATTAGTAGTTGCTGTTGTTGTATTTGTTGTAGACGATGATGATTACGTTATGTTATGTTATCACAACTGACGTGATTGAACATTTTTCCGTCAACATTAGGCCCCAGAGGCCACACAGGGAAGTCAGTGACATCATACGTAACAATAAATTGTTGAGTGATAATAACCATAATCGTGGCAATAATATAATTTTTTTTAAAAATTATGATGAAAACAAAACGGAACAAAACATACACTACAGACTATTCCATCTTGGCACCTCTGGACTTTTAAGTTAGGTCATTGCCGTTAAAGGATCCTGTATGCTTCTTGAGGGGCACTAACATATGCTGCTAACAATATGCTTGTATAGAAAACATCGGCACTTGATGGATTTTGTAGATATCATTATACCCGCCACCTTTTTCTACCCACTATATTACTTGGTGCCAGTTTTAGACTAGTTAAAGTGGGAGAGATAGCTATAATTTTTTTTTTTTTTAATTCAAACCCATGACATTCGGGTTGGCTGTCAAGCGTGCTACCAACGACGCTACAGCGGCTTCCAAGAGTACTGGTCATCGCTACCTGCTTCGGACAGCCGAGATTATGGTAGTATTAGGTAAAGCCGTTAGATATCCCTTTATATAACAATAACAACACAGCGGAAGCATGCACAATGCAGGAGTCCACCGATCATCAGTAGGCGGGTCCCCTTTCAACAATTGTTTCTGCCCGTTATCCAACTAGACAATCTCGAGGGGTAAACATAACATAACCCTTGACCCGTTAGGGTCGTGGAGGTGTATTGATGGAAGCACTAGCACATAAAACCCGCCATCTTTCTCTGTCTTCCGTTTGATGAATAAATGTATGATAACTTAGTCCTGTCCATTTCTTGATGTTGTCATTCCAGTTTCTTCTTTGCCCCCCCCGTCTTTTCAATCGAATTATGTCTCACCACGTGCCCAAACCAAGGTAGCTTGTGACGTTTTCACCACTGCCAAGAGAGGCTCCTGATATCCCACAAATATGTACATTTTGTCTCTGACATATGTATTAGTTTTGTGTTCTAAATAACTAATTCGTAAAATTCTTCTCTTTAGCATTTACATTTAAAAGACTGAGGCCTCCTTTCCTGTTCCACGGTGAGAGTCCAACCCTCACACCCGTATAAGAAAATAGACTATACCAGTGATTTGTAAATACTAATCTTGACTGCAATGACTTTGATTTTGCTCTTCCACAGCAGAGACATCACGGTTGATGCCATATCTCGTTGGGTGGGCCGGCCTGGGTCATGACTCCCAGACCTCGGACTTCTCCTGCTGCGCTAATCGGACATTCGGACAAGACGAACTGGTGGTTTTGCAAAAGATACTGAGGTTTATGGCTATACAAATATTTATATGTATATCATCGCCGTGGTAGCACATTGTGCGACCAGAGTGAAAAGAAAAATTGCGGTCGGTTCATGAGACAGATGTTTGTCCTAATTATATCCTTGGCAATATAACCTCGTGTATTCTAGACAAAGCATTACGGTCTGCTGCGCTTGTAAATTGTTGCTGTGTTTGTTATTTGACATATGCTTTGTTAATACAAATTTCTGTAACCTATGATGCAGTTTAAAAATTTGAGATTAATTCTGTCCGTATTCCATAGTTGTGAATTCTGACCTTTATGATAGACATGCCAACGAAGACACCATTTTTCTAGGGGTGCCTAGCTGGTTGTGTTTTTAGTATACTTGTTTCTATAGCGAGGTGCTCACACCATTTTAAGGTGACAGGTTCGATTCCTGGCACGGTAACTATAGCTATAATTATAACCTGTTAGGAATTCGATAAAGAGATTTAGATTGTTTGACTCATCCACTGCGCCACTGTTCGAGTCGCAGGGATGATCACATTTTCAGGTAGAAGTCCAGAGAGGACAACTGACAGGCTAACATGAACAGGCTCACAGACCTGCTCGATGCTGTGTTTCCTGTTTGCTTCTATGTAGTCTCTTTCCTGCTTTGAGATTCGTGGATGTTCTCTGGGCGTGTCGTAGATCAAGGTCAGCCAGAACAGTGACCATATGACGCCAGCGCCACCTGGTGAGATTTTAAACAAGAGAATGCCAATTGGTCTTCTTGGTGTTTGTAAATTTCTACACACACACACACACACACACACACACACACATATATATATATATATATATATATATATATATATATATATATTAGGGCTGTACCGAATGGTGATTTTCACTATTCGGCCGAATACGAATAACGGGACCAGCTATTCGGCCGAATACGAATACGAATAGTATATAGTGAATAAAATATATCTATTTAAAAAAAAAAAAACACACACACACACACACATTCATACTGTCAAATGTACGCTGAACTTTTACTTCACATAAAGTAGCACAGAATAATCATCATCTTCTTTAGCATTCTGAGCCCTTGAGGTTTACCGCTGCAGATATCACTCGTCCCCATTCATCTCTCTGGCTGGCCTTCTCATCACAATTTGTGATACCAGTTGTTTGCAGGTCTGGCTGGACATAATCTCTCGATCTTCTTGTTTGTCTGCCTCGTGGTCTACGCCCATTCCTCTCTCAGGTGTATACAGTTTTAATTCTCTGCTATCTGACATTCTTTCAATATGCCCCAACCATTTTAGTCTGTTAGCTCTCATGATGCCAGTGATCAATGGTGATTTAAACAGATTATGTGTTACGTTGTTGCTTCTCACTCTCCATTCACCGCTGTTAGCATCTTTGATGGGTCCAAAGATTTGTTGTAAGACTGTTTTCGAAAACCTGTAAAAAGGCCTCATCTCTTGTATTTCTGCTTCAAGTTTCAGAGCCATATAAAACAACTGGTCTTATCAACGTTTTATATATTTTGATCTTGGTGTTGCGAGACAGCACTTTGACTTTAGCAGATTTTGAAGGGCATATTAGACTTTATTTCGAAATTGTATTCTAGATTGTATTTCTTCTCTCAGCATGTTGGAGCAGTTGAAGTTTGCACCCAAGTACTTTGATGTTTCCGTTCGTTTGATTTTTAAATTATCGACTTGGATGTGGCTGGAGTTTATATTTTTTCCATGTCTAGTTAGTATTCATACAGAATAGTAAACATTTAAAAACATTTTGTTTTGCATCCTTTAGTCAGTCTGTGGTAACTAATAACTAGGAATGAAAGAATCCTAGATATTATAACAAGTAACTAAACTTGGAAATTGTCACTGACAGCTTAGTTAATGCATGAAAGATGCATTAGCTTTTAATAAAACCAATCGTTCCGTGTTGTCAGTATTAAGGCCGTGTATGCAGAAGCGGGTGTAAGGTAACTACAATTCGTATTCGGCCCGACCGCAACTATTCGGCCGAATACCGAATAGTCAATAGGTCCACTATTCGGCCCCGAAGCGAACCCAAAGCGAATATTCGGTACAGCCCTAATATATACACATGCATTGCTACACTGGAAAATGATGTACCCTAATGCAATCTAAGGTAAGTAAACATGGTGGAAAGTCAACGTATCCCTGAAAAACCGCATAGCCAGACAAACAACTGCAACGTCCGGCGGTGAGAAAGAGAGGCAGATCTGATCGGTTATGGAGAGACGCCGTAGGAATAGGTTGTGTACTAACGTCCGAACAAAGACATAGATAAGTTACACGTTTGTTCTGGACGAAGTGAAACGTTTCATTACAGTAGATGAATGTTTGCTATATTTCAGGAAAAGTCTTATTCGGTGATAGAGGAGAAACTCTTTGACTTAGCATGCATTTAATGATGTCTATAGTTAAAGCATGTGTCTGCCCGGCTCTCTAGCGTAGTTAGCTCAACCGGATTGCGCGGTGACCGGGTGACGAACTCCTTGTGGTCCGGGTTCACTCACGGGGGTTGACAGAAAAGCCACATTTTTCTCCCAGATTTACGGTATTTACAATGGAATCAAGGTTGCGATATCCATAATACCGAGCCTAAGGGATAACAACTCATGGCTTCTGGATACTAAAACAAACAAACAAAGCATGTGTCTGTTTTGTTACCTGAAGCGTATTAGTGGCTGGCCTTTAGCAATTTTAGGCAGTTTGATTGGCAGTTGAACTGTCTCATTCTTTAGGTAGATAATGTTTAATCTCTATCGTGTTTATCCTCGTGCAAAAGTAGATGGTAGGTCGTTTTCACTTCATTATCCATCAAGTTCGAGATGAGCTCATCGCTGCTAGCTAGAGTGAATAGCATATGTTCTGTTCGAAAAAATTGTTGTTAATGTATTGTTGCCAGCGAAGCACGACGTTTTGAATCTCGGAAAATAAACATTTGTTGAGTGTGATCATTATATTTCATGTGTTTAATTAACATTACAACTAGTGGTTCGTGCAGGACTACTGTCTAGGTGTTGCCTATGCAGTTATCTATTGAGGTGAGTTGAGTCAAGAATTGACATTACAGCATTCGGACATTCCCATTCCCAATATATATCCGTCTTGCCTTTCCTGTAAGTGTGTAGGGAGCTGGTCAGACCCTCTGGTTACACCAAGGTGCCC